TAATTCAGACCTTTAGAGTTACAGAACAGTGAGGACAGGTGGCCCTGGACTTTTTGCTGTTAATGTAACTCAACAGGTTCAGCCAACACAGAAAGTTGTAACACCTTATACAGATGGACAGAGAGGTGAGTGGATGGATGGATGGATGGATGGATGGATGGATGGATGGATAGATAGATAGATAGATAGATAGATAGATAGATAGATAGATAGATAGATGGGTGGGTGGATAAATGACCAGATAAATGGATGGAGAAGTTGATGGAAGGGTGGATAGATATATTGGTGAATGGATGGATAGATAGGTGGGCAAATGGATAGGTGGGTTAGTGGATGGATGAACAAATTAATAGATAGGTGGATGGACGGATGGTTGCTAGAAAGATAAATGAATGGATTGTGGGCTTTGAGCATATATTATCCAAACTCTCAGTACTCAGGTTAAAATGGAGACATTGGAATGACATCATAGGTAGATCTCAAGTAAAAACAAAGCACCTGTCTCAGAACCCAAGCAACCAGCATGAGTTTACCCACTGGACTCATACCTGGCTCCCACACAAGAATACGTTTCATGACAGCAGGTCTCTCTCCAGCTAACTGTCTATTTACAGGGAGGGCCCAGAAAATACTAAGTCCTCAGTAAGTATGCCTTCAGTGACTTCACCCCAGCTCTGCATTCATCCATCACTCATCATCATTCATATAACCTTAGAATTCGATATTAGTGTACAGTGCACCATTTGCCCTGGGAGGAATGAGGACTGGGCATTTCTCCAGCACAGGCTGCCTTGAATAATTCAGTTAAGGGAAAACCCTGAAGTTGCTTTTAGAAACACACAGCATCAAGTTGGCATGGTGGTTTAGCCAGTAAACGCACCTGCTAAATAACCTGGCAACTTGAGTTCGATCCCCGAGGCCCACACAAGAGAAGGCTGGAACCAATTCCCACAACTTGTCCTCTGAACGCTACATGTTTACCATGGTAAATGTGTACCCACGCACCTACACATACAGGCTCACACAACATAAAAAAATGTAAAATACTTAACAAGCATCATAGCATGAGAAATAAGAACGATTTCCGGTGCTTCCTCTGTACTGTTGACTTCCCTTTGATAGCCAGAGCTGTCAGTATCTTTGCTGCATCTTGATTTGGGTCATTTTGGTTGCTGACAAGAGGATGATGAGAGTCACTGTACTCAGAGGAAAGAAAGACAAACAAGTACTCTCTAGGACCCTCAGATGCTGCATTTGATGGAGCGGCATTGATAAAGGACCTTCCCAGCTTTTTTGACTCCATCCATTGGGAGAGATAGGCTGGAGACAGCCGGGTCCAAACACAAGGAAAGGCTGCTGGCCTGTGGGGCCCTTTGACATTGCATGGGGCCTGGCTCCTGAGATGGCTGGAAGGCAGACAGACAATGAGGGGAAGTCAGATAGCAGGGCCAGGCTGGGGCCAGGGGGAAAACCACCCACAGAGTTATCACTCCTAGGGAGTCCCAAACTGGAAGGAAGCCTCCCTGATTCGTTATCTCCTCACACCGTGGGGACTGATGATGAATTACCTTCTGACCCCATTGGCTTCTCTGTCACCCAAAGCTCCCTTTGGGGGTTGGGAGTGTGGAAAGTGGCAAGGAGGGCAGAGGTTTCTGGGAAGACCAGAGGCTGCAGAGTATGAACTGCACCCCCCATACCCCAAGTCCACTGGCTTCACTAGGGATGTCAGGCCAGGCTTCTCACTAATTAGGAGACTCTGGGAAAATTTCTCCATCTGTCTGAGCTCTACCATCCAATCTGAAGCAACAGAGAGGACACATTTTCATAGTCTTATCTCCAGCCGGTCCCAAAGTCCTGATCCACTCACTTCTCCAGCTCTGAGCCACCATGGCAGGCCTCGCAGCCCACAGTCACCTCTCAACAGGTGTCTGGTGTCATTCCTGTCCCCTCCTATCACAGAAAAGTGACGCTGCTAAACACAACATCTAGCCGTGACACTTGCAGGCTGCTGACCCCCTGATAGCCTCCCACTGGTGTTCAGATAACGCTTGGGTCAGTAATGGAAATGGCTTAGGAGGCATCCAGCTGGCCCTGCCTCTCTCTCTAGCCTTCATTCTCCACCCTTTACCCTTTGCTCTGGGTATTCTAACCCACCCCCTCCCTTACCTTCTCCCAGCTGCCTCCCACTTTCCCTGATCCCACACTCAGCCTGTTCTTTCAATTTGATATATATTAGCGATTTGCAGGTGTGTGTGTGTGCGCGCGCATGTGTGTGTGTGTGTGTGTGTGTGTGTGTGTGTGTGTGTGTTATTCATGTTTGCAGGTACACATGTGTACCCTTGTGCATGGAGGCCAGGGAACATGCTCAACCAAGCCTGTAGCAGACCAGGTACTAGCCATACCCCTCACCAAGCTAACTGGTAGGACTCACCGTTATCCTCAACCTGTTTTAGAGCTACTCAAAGCCCAGAAACATGAAGCGATTTGGCCAGGGTTACCCAGCTGCAAACCGACAGCAGTTGCAACCCTTTTTGCAACAGACAGACACCCACTTCAGCCCTGCTGTGTTGATTCTGAGTACATCCAACCAAAGAGGTTGACTCTGGCATTTGCAGCCTTCCCACCACATCCGTGCAGAAGGCGTGGCTAAGAGCTCTGCTGTGCAGAAGGCGTGGCTAAGAGCTCTGCTGTGCAGAAGGCGTGGCTAAGGACTCTGCTGTGACTATTGACCCTAAACGGGCTTTGATTCTTTTCAAACTTATTCCTACCCTCTCTTTTCTTTTGGTCTGGCATTAATTTAATCGACAGAGCTCCCTAATGCGAACCTGCTGAGTTCTTTATCGCCATGTATGACCAAGTCTCCAGTGCAGATGACATTTTGAGAGTGTGGTTAATGCTAACTCCGACAAGAGAGTGCAGGGCTAAGAGACACAGGGTAGTGAGGCTTAGCTTCCAAGTGCACTTTCATGAACAACTGGCCAGCCAGGTGCAGTTGGATTTGCCTGCAATCTCACTACTTGGGAAGCTGAGGCAGGCAACCGGGAGTTCAGAGCCAACCTGGGCTATGCAATGAGTCTGAGGCCAGCTGGGGCTACTCAGTGAGTTTCAGACAAGCCTGGGCTATATAGAGATTTTGAGACCAGCCTGAGATATATGGTAAGACCCTGTCTTAGAATAAGAAGAAGAAAAAAAACATCAGCTCTTCTCTGTGCCTCAGTTTACCACCTGTAAAGAGAGTTCCCCATACCTACATTGGGAGAAGACTTACTCAGAGACCAAGACAAAGCGAGAGCCCTCTCAGCCATCACACCAGGCAGGATGTTTGAACAGGAACTCCTCCTTGGATACTCTTTCCCTCTCTGAGAGCTGAGGAAACAGACACACTTGCCGCATCTGGTATCCAGCCCACCCAGCAGTGGATGTGTGGGGAGCCAGGCTGGGGGCTGTTGGGGTGACATTGTTCAGGCCTTGGAAATCCAAGGAGTTTTGAAGGGTTTGGGTCCATCTGGCAGTCAGGCAGCATCCCCAGCCGAGGACCAATGCCAGCACATCTCCCCTTTCCAAACACAAGGATGGGGCAGCCTGGGCTAGTCAGTCAGAGCATGTTTCTTTTCTCTGAGAGGCCTGACTCCTGAGAATTCTACTACAGCAGCCTTGCCAGTGGTGCCCAAAGTGGCTTAACCAAAGGTCCAGAGAAGTTCACTGAACTTCTGCCAGTGCTGAATAGTCACTGATGGAATGAGGGGCAGCAAGTCAGACTATAACTTAGGTGTTTTAGAACAAGGCAATTTCCACTGACCGAGCCCACCCCAGACAAGCACACAACACACCCACAAGCCTGTGCCTTCACACCAAACCCCCAAAGACACATCCCACCAGGAGCCTGAAGTGCAGTCTCATTTAAGAAAGGAGTCTGAAGTTAAGTTAGCCCATATTCACAAAAACTCTTTAAGTTATCCCATATTCACAAAAACTCTTTCGACTCCCAAAGGTGGGCTGCACCCCTGATGTCTGACCCTGAAGAACATGGGTTGAAGGCCACCTTGTCCCCTCTGTGTGACAGCAACTGTCTCTTCACATCTTCCAGGGACTCAGTATCCACAGTGACTACATGTCACCTATTGGGGAAGTCACAGCCTACTGGATGCTGACCAGGCATCCAGTGCTCTGAGACACCTTGTCCCCATTTACAGAGTGAGAAGCTCAGAGAGGATAAGCACTCAGGAGGCCGAGGCAGGAGGATTGCAAGTTCTAGACAAGTCTGAGCTACAGAGTGAGCAAACCACACAGAAACAAACAACTGTTCGATAAGCGAAATTCAACCACACCGCACGTGTTAACCACGATGGTTCTGGCACCCAGAAGGGGCTGATGGGGTTTCCTTTCTTGACACAGACCCTTTGGCTCAGAAGCTTAGGAAAAAGTCATTGACTTCTCACTTGGTAAGGGAACTATGGCATGCCTGAGACACCTGCATAGATGTAAATAAAGTGGGGGTGGAAATCAGCTGTGACTCTGTGTGTATGTGTGTGGGGGCAGGGTGTAAATGAGAGAGAGGAGGTGTGTGTGTGCTGTGTGTATTGTGTGTTATGCATATATAATGTGTATGACGCGTGTCTCTGTGTGCATTTGTACGTTTGTGTGTATATGTATGTATGTATACATTATGCATGAATGTGTGTATGTCTGTGTATGTGTATGTGTGTATGCACGCCCTACACACACACACACATATGCATGTGTGTGCTCGCACATGCGCACACACCCTTTATAAAGTCAATCTGGACACTTTCCATCTTCCTCATGGGGAGGCTGAACTGAGAAAATGAGTCTCTCACTTTTTCTTGTGTGGTTTGAATCTCTTATCACTTCTGTTTCTGTTTTTTATTATTCTGTCTGTTAGTATTTTAATAATAATAATAATAATGAATGAATGCCACTGTGCACTCCACCCCAAGGAGGAACGCAGTAAGAAAGGGTGGCAGGCCTGTAACACTCACCTTTCCTCTTGGTACAGTGGTAAATCTGGCTGTGCTCCTGGGCCAGTGGGTATGGGTTGGGCGGGGGCAAAAGGTCCTGGGAGGGGCCGGAGACACCATTCTCACACTGGTACTGGGACCCTAAATTGGATGAGGTGGAGAGAGCTCGGGTCTCACTGCTGAACGGACTGTGGTTGGAGGCCACTTTGTGCCTCACTGTGCTCCTGGGAACCACAGGATACTCTTTACTGGAAGGAAGAAGACAAAAAAAAATGTTATGTCCATCAGTGCTCTGCTGCACAGTCACCTCCTTGCTGAGCCACATGCCAACGAATCCACCAGAAACGTCAACAAATGAGAAAGTAAGAGATCTTTAATGATCAGGATGGCCCAGTGGCTCCTGGCATCCCATGCCATGAATACACACACTTTTCGCGTCTTGTACATTTGGAGAGCATGTTTAAAAACAGTCAGGGGTGGCCGGGCGGTGGTGGCGCATGCCTTTAATCCCAGCACTCAGGAGGCAGAGGCAGGCGGATCTCTGTGAGTTCGAGGCCAGGCTGGACCGACAGCCTCGAAAACAATACAGAGAAACCCTGTCTCGAAAAACCAAAAAAAAAAAACAGTCAGGGGTACACCTAAGAACGCTCCACAGCGTCGAGGCATTGGAACTGCTTTGACTTATCCAATTCAATTCAAAAACTGGATGTGCTGCCTAGACATTTAGGCTTCACTTGGGGATATATATTTATTTTAAAAGGCCTCATCTTTGCTCAAGTAGAGCAAACCATTCTGGATAGTCAAGTGCAGCCTTAGACCTTTCTGCTGTGGGCAGATTGCCGATTGTGACTTTGAACTCCTTTTAAATTGCAATCTTTGCCACACTGCTGTACCTAACTGCCTTGTGGTTTGGTTTTTCCCATCCGTAAGTTGGGGGCAATAAACATCCCTAGTTCAGGGCCAGGAAGGATGACTCAGGGTAAAGAACTTGCTGCACTGGGTCTGGGAAGATGGTTCAGCGTTTAAGAACACTGACAGCTCTTCTAAAGGACCCAGGTTAGATTCCCAGCACCCACGTGGCAGCTCACAACTGTCTATAACTCCAGGAGACCTGATACCCTCATATAGATATACATGCAGGTGAAACCCCAATGTACATTAAACAAATAAGTAAATATTTTAAAAAAGAACTCGGGCTGGAGAGATGGCTCAGAGATTAAGAGTACTGATTGTTCTTCCAGGAGTCCTGAGTTCCATTCCCAGCAACCACATGGTGGCTCACAACCATCTACAATTCAATTTGGTGCCCTCTGACATGTAGGAAGAACGGTGTATATGTAATAAGTAAACAAATCTTAGAAATAAATAAATATATAAAAAAGAACTCTCTACACAGCTTAGGGATCTGAGTTTAATCCCTGGAACCCACGTAAAGATGAAAGGAGAGAAACAACTCCACAAAGTTGTCCTCGGACCTCCACTTGCACACCATGGCATGTGCATGCCCCCAATACATATCACATGGACATATGCATGGACACACACTAATCGTAATAATAATAATAATAATAATAATAATAATAATAATAATAGAAGAAGAAAAGAAGAAGAAGAAGAAGAAGAAGAAGAAGAAGAAGAAGAAGAAGAAGAAGAAGAAGAAATCCTCAGGGGCTGGAGAGATGGCTCAATAGTTAAGTTCCGTTCCCAGCACCCATACCAGGCAGCTCACAACCACCTGTAACTCCAGCTGCAGTGGAGCCAATACCCTCTTGTGGAGTTTGTAGGTACCTGCACTTGCATGCGCACAATCCCCCTCCCACACACATATGTGCATAAATAAAAATTAAAATTTTAAACCTATATTCTTGAGACTATGAAAGTGCCCGGCTTAAAAAAAATAAACAACAACAACTTGCAGTTCAAAGTGCTGTTGAACAAAGGAATGAGAAGAACACATCCAGTGCCAATCACTGTGGCTATTGTTTTAGGTAGAGAGACAGAAAGGGGAGGAGATGGGAAGATAAAGGAGATGGGAATCGCAGAATGACATGAAGCAGACCCAAGTACAGGCCCACCTCCCATCACCACACAACCTGCTGGCCTCAGCATGCAGCCTGTCGCTTCCTCTCAGTATCCTCCCAGGTTCTCAGCGTCCGGTCCCTGCCACGCTGAGGGCATCACTCGGTTGGTAGAGTGCTGGCTTAGTGTACACAAAGCCCTGCATGTGATCCCCAACGCCAAATAACCCTGGCATAGTGGTTTGCGTCTATAATCCCAACACTTGGCAGCTAGAGGCAGGAGGATCAGGAGTCCAAAATAAAGCAATAGTAATGATTATAATTTGATAACCACCTCAGCATGATTAGTCTCCTTTCTAGCGTGTGCGTTTTATGAAGCTAATCACAGTATTCTGAGGAATTTATAGGTCTCTGGCACTAGGAATACATTTGGATACAAACACATCTGGATCAGGAAATCCCAAACATGTATGAAAGTATGTGCTTGGGATACTAACTCAACTCCTCTCATGTAGCTAAAGTAAAGGCTTCCTTGTGGAAACTAAAGTGTGCATTTGGGACTGGAGGTGCACACTCAGAGGCACAGGGCTCACCTAGCATGCATGGAGCTCTTGGTTCAATTCCCAGCGCCACAATAAATAAATGCTTGCATGCATGCATACATACATACATACATATATACATACATACATACATGCATACATACATACATACATACATAGCTGGAGATGCAGCTCAGTGATAGAGTACTTGCCTAGCAAGCTTGAGGCTATGAGTTCAATTTTAAGCACCACAATTTGTTAATTAGTTAATTAATAAAAGACTGGGATGTGGCTCTGCAGTAGGGTATTCATGTGGGATGTATAAGATCCTGAGTTTTAATAACTGAACTGCAAAAGAATTAGAAATAAAATACAAAGCACACACTCTACAATCTTAGGAGCAAGTCCCATATGCTCTAAAGGTCCTGGAGAATGCCACAGGGATGAGTCCATGGCACTCTTCCCATGAGCCGTGATGATGTTATGATCGCTGTGCCCATTTTACAGATTAGGAAGCTAAAGCCCAAAGAGAAGAGACAACTTGCCCAAGGACCCAGAACTGGTTAAAAGGCACAACAAGAATTCTACCCTAACCACTACCTAAATACTTCTTTCAATGTCTAAAGCAGAGGCCTGGGGTCAAGATTCATGCACCAGAGATATATCCTTCTCTACTCTCTGCCTGTCTCTGTTATGAAGAAGTACATCACAGTGGCCAGGCAAGGGACATGGAGAGCCTGCCAAGTTTCCATGACACTGCACACCCACTCATGACACCCAATGTCTCTTGGCTATGCTTCCCCTGGGGGCTTGTGCCATCTCAGATCCCAGCTGGGATCCTCCACAGGGCCACCAGTCAGCCAGGAAGTTAAACAGAATGGCATTAACTTGAGAGCTCTGGCTTTGTGGTTCAAACCATGTAATGGAAAAACAAGAAGAATAAAAGAAAAAGCATAATAATAAAACACTACCAAAGCCATCAATTCTCACCGGTAATCCTGCCTGGGTCTGCTAAGGTCAAGCGCTGGGCTGTCAGCACTCCAGAAGGAAGGGAGAAATCGTTTTGGGGTTTTATATGTTTAATGGGGATGGTTATTTTTTCTAATTAAAGAAAATAAGCCTCCAAAAATATTGGCTGAGGGAATTTACAAGGGAGCGTACCAGTGTGCCCTGTGGAATTCTCCCATCCAGCCTTGCCAAACTGCAGAATTACTCACCCCGAGAAAGGCCAAACCCTGTTTTATAAACACTTCCAGAAGTGGAAAAGTGATATTATCCCCAATAACCACGTGTCCCTCACAGCTTGCTTCCCTCTAAGGAGCCTCAAGCATCATCCCCAGCGTGTATCAAGAACATCTCGTTTAGTGCCTGAGATGCTGTGTCCCAAGGCCATCCGACGGTGTCGGGCTGTAGGCAAGGGAAGGCAGTGTGCCCCCTCCATCCAGCGTGGTGAGAAACACTCAGGGAAAGAAATATCCAAAGTAAACCACAGTAGGTGGTCCCTACGGAGCTCTTCAGTGGACTGTTCAAAGAGCGATCAGTTCAAAGGAACTGTTAGCGTCTCTCTGGTGGCATCATCACGGTGCCTGAGATGGGAAGGTGAGTTGTTTTCATCTGAAACTTGGGAGCACCCATGAAGAAGCCAGAGCATCACAGAATTAGAGTGAAGGTTGAAAGGGGTGTGTGTGTACAGCAGCGATGGAGGGTCAGTTTTCACCATAATTACCACCACCACCATCAACATCACCAGCATCACTACCATCATTATCGCCACTATCACCATCACCATCAGTATCACCGCCATCACATCCATCACCACCATCATCACCATCATCACCATCACCACCATCATCACCCTGATCTGTACTGTTCTTTAAATGCCTCCTCATCCATGTTCCAGCCACCGTACGGATTGTCTTCAATGCCTTCCCTCATTTGGTCCTAGACCATCCCTCGCTTTGTGCAAATACTTAACAGCTACCATACAAATAAGAACAATTCAAGTTCAGACAGCTGAAAAGAGCCAACAGCAGATTCATTCAAAGTCCATTTCTATTCTTCAACTCTTGGGGATTAACTTGGAGTGGTAATGTGGAGGCACCTGCTGTGTGGCAAGCATCTTTCTGCAAAGCAGGTAGATGAGGACAGAATTGGGGACCGGCTACAGTAGGGCAGGATTGAGGTCACTGGGCAAGTCCCACTGCTCATGACACGCGGCTGCCCTCGCTATCCGTCAGTCCCGCCAGCATCCCACCAACAGGCTCTGATCAGAGGCACCAGACACAAACCAGACCTCGGGTTCCTCAGCACTCCCTGGGTGCCATAACCCAGAAAGCAGACCCTCCCTGACTCAGGCTCCCTGACATTCTGTTCCCTGCGAGTGAGTGAATGACGCCATTGTCACTGGGTCTGGGTTGTAAAACATTACAAGGGAATATTGAAACCGAGGGCCAAACTGCACCATCAGCCTGCCGCCAGCTAATGAAGCCGTTTTCCACTGCACCGCAGCGGATTGAATCAGCCTTTTCACAAGAGCAGGTGGCAGGGAGTTGGTGCGCTGGGGGCTTTTGTTCAGTTTTGTTTTCTCTAGGAGATGCTTACCCAATTTCTGGCAGCATATTTAAACAAGCAAAATGGGGTGAGGGACATAAACGTCCCCTTCTTGTAGGGCAAATTCCTCTATGAGCG